CATGATCTGCTCGGAGAGGCCAGGTTTCACAGCCATAGAACAACGCGGTGCATACTGTTGCGCAATACATACACTCTTTCAGTGAAAGGGATATGTCGCGCCGGCGCCAGAGATGACGCAGAGTAGCGAACTCAAATATAGCTTAGATCATGCTTTGAGAGATCTCCTCACCTACATCTCCGCCAGTCGTTGTGCAACTCCCAAGGTTGACAAAGCTTTCGACTACTTTCAGAGTGTGATTACCTAAGGAACGTGCAGGAACGGCATCCTATCAATCTTACAACAACAACTTGTACTTTGAAGGTGCAAAGGACAGATTATAACGAGTAACCTCAATTGCCAAATGATTCAGCCAGTCTTAAATCGTCGGTGCGTTGTCAACGGGTAAGGCAATATCATAGGCACACTGTAAGTCTACAGGAAGAAGCCCGATGCGAACGTTCAGTATGTCAAATAACGCTTTTGTAAAACATCACATATGGCAAAGTTGAGAAGAAACGGAGAGATAGGGCAACTCTGTTTTATTCCACTGGTGACAGGAAGTGATGGTGAAAGTTCACCACAAGCCCTAACTGTCCCCGAGGTCTGGTGATAGAGTGCTCTTAGAAGCAGAACATACTTCTCGGGTACTCCTTATCTCAGCAAACAGTTACACATTGCGGGGCAATCGATGGAGTCGAAGGCCGCTCTGTTGTCCAAAAAACAACAACGATAGTTTGTCGTCTGTATGTGTGGCTATGTTCTAGTAACTGATGAAATGAGCAGATTTGATAGATGCAACCACGGCGAGCATGGAAACCGTCTTGCTCTTCGCAATATAACAGCGTCGGTGCCATTGGAATTAAACTTCTTCCCCTTTGGTTGGAACAGGCGTTATGACGGCCCCTACTGTAGTTGGGTGTAACGACCGATTCTCCCCATGTGTGGGATACAATTTCAGTTTCCCAGATCTTCGAGAACGATCACGAGAACTTCTCCACCAGCTTTAAAGAAAGCAGGTGGTAGATTTTCCGATCCGTTCGTTTTGTAGCGTTTCAGGACTTGGAGTTCCATTCGGATCTCTGCGCCTGTGGGCTAGCTTCCGATTCCACCTCCTATGCACGTAGCATCCACCATAGTTCTCGGTCGTATCTCAAGCTCTTTGTAAGGTAACGCTTAAGAGAGGAGCGCTCCCCATTGTACTCGCTGTCTGCCGACGCGCGTCAAGAAGTCTGAGAGTTGGCAGAGACCCAGTGTTTTACAACTCGACGTGTTAAAATGAGGAGAGTTATTTATTACAAATAACGGTAAGGGAATAGGTAAATTGACATACATAGAACAAAATGTTTCAGGTGGAACGAATCTTCGGAATTCGAACAGGCACACAGGATAATTAACGGAACTATCTGACGGTAGATGCGCATTTCTAGCAGGTACCGTTTTGAACAAAGAAATTTGCTCTAAGAGGTCCCGTTCATTTATAATCGTAGAGAGAAATAGCCATTCACGTTCTTTTGCGCAGTCAAAACATATTACTCACAACAGAAAGGTCAGGCCAAAACTATGTAAACTAGGACGACCGAATAAGAAAGCTTCACGAGGTCCAGTTGTTTGCATCTCATCTTTTGCAGTCACCAAATCGCATAGACAACTTGGCACAAACCAGCGTGAGTCGGAGTCCAAGCAGGTAGACCAATCCGAGCGCCAGTCTTTCACACATTCCCGCCATCTATAGCTAATAGCTATATGATCAATCTGACGCCACAACTGTGCCGAAAAGGGATTAAGCCAAGTGGCGAGGTGACGCTTTGGGTATCTGAAGTTCGCGCTAACGAGGAACGGTCGATTTTCTGAGTATGTGCTAAGAAGTCTATCGCCATTATCTGAACGACAGCTGTCAAGGAGGCAGCTTTAATTTCGTCCGGTTCAACACCACGTCTAACCTGGTGGGGCCTTTTGCGGTTCTCTGCTCCAAGTCCAGGGTCCTATGTAGCCGTTTACCACAACTGAACAGTAGGTTTTCGTGACTATGGGGTCGGACCCGCCTGCTGTTATTCATACGCTGGTGTAATTAAAAACGCACAGTTGAAACGCTTCTTTTGTTTCCGAGAGGCAAGACACATCAGTCTCTAGACTTTCGAGTGTACGCACCAAACCTGCCTGTTATTCTACACGCGTTAGTGTTTTTAGGTTGAGATAGGGACCAGTTTGAATGCCGAGTGAGAATGAAATGACTGACACCGAGTGACATGGCACTGCTGACACATTATGATTATGGAGTTTGTCCGTTTTCCTATAAATCACTCCGTATGTGATGAGAAAATTAACACGACACAGATAAGTCAGAGTGGCGAACTTCGAATGAAATTTCCGAAAAGGTGGTGCGATCTTTTTCGGAATAAAATCACACAATGAGATGCAACTACCTAAGTAAGAAAACCCACTTACCAGCCACATGATTCCAGCAACCAAATTAGACTGATCTGTAGTTCTACTTTCAGCTTGCACAACTGTTAACCCTGAGGGGTTTTGGTTGCTGTCTTTTGGTTATCCGCTTGAGGATGGAGCAAGTGTAAACGTTCCGCAAAACAATTTTACACAATTATTTCTTGCACTGCTATGATATTGCTAAAACTAACACGAATTAACAATCTGCATGGGTCTCAAATTTCAGTTTCAGTTTTCACAACCATTGGTCATACAGTTTCGTGCGCCGGTTTTGTTTGCTGTCTCATGACAGACCATTCAAATAAAGTAGTAAGAACAATCAAATCGGAATCAGAGTGAAACCAGAGAATTCATGAAGACCAAGACTGCAAAGAAATTGAGATGTATACTTAGATGAACTACCCTTTTTGGAAAAGCTGTATACCGACAGTGCCGCATGAAAATAAGGCTGACTGATAAACTCGCGTGGATAGTCCTTGCAGGCACAAACTCGGTATCAGTGGTGTGTGTAAACAGGAATTGAACGAACGTCATGTAGGAATTTGAAACCCTTTTAGAGAAAATTCAAGTCAGAAGATCAACGATCGACCAAGTCGAACGTGGCTTCCGAATCAAGCTTGGTAGAGTACATGTTGCAGTGGCAGCGGTTGGAATTCCACGTCATGCCCAAACAACTCACCTTATTAACAAAAGTGCCATGAGTGCTATCTAGGTCTTGCAAATACCAACCGGGCGAATCTACATGTGCAGCAGAAGTCTTGGCGATAGACAGTGGTGGTCGGCCATATTGGAGCACCGCATGTAGTCGGCTGATAGACGGATGAGCCATCACCACACATTGTCCATGTAAACGATTAAAAGGTGCGTAGAAATTCTCCGGCTGACGCCCGAAAAGGCAAAAGCTCAGTTCTTCTACACCAGCACTGTCTGATGCCGATATTGATGTTGAATCGTTTGTTAAGTTGACTGTGCATTCAGGTAGTGGTATGCCATTTTTAATCACTTCCAATCGATAAACTGCATCAGCAGGACAAATCATAGCCCATAAAGGTGGTCGATATGCCTGGGCATTGGATGGGGCTGCAGAAGATTTTCGACTAGATGAACTTGTCTTCTAATCATAGGAAGGTAAGTAAAAGATAACGTGGGTGACGTATCACAATCAACAAACTTTCAATCACAAAGCATTGATGTGTAACATACTGTAACATACACAATAGCCTTTGAGTTTAAATCAGTCGAGTAGATAAATGGAGAAAATAAAAACTAGGTTGATCCTATATCATTTAGTCACTGCATGATGCCCACTAGTTATGACCTGATGAATCCTGATCCTCTTCCAATTGGTATCAATCTCGGCTAACCTACTTTACAAAGACCAGACATTTGGGACAGTGTGAACTGCGGTCGTACAATAATGTACGTCGGAAGTCATGTTCAGTGCAATATTACGCATATAGAGGGATTCATGCACCGATAGAACATAATGACTAAATCTCCGTACCGTATGGCGAACCTGTTCCAACCGCAGCAGCAATCCTTCGATCGCACAACTTGCGGGAGGATAGTATGGACATCAGAGAAGAAATTTAATTGGCTCAAGAAAAAATTAACGGCAAGACAACAACAAGAAATACCTCCAAAGATGGGTCGTCGGATAACTGGAAGCTTTCTTGATCCGAACTGTACGTTTCGCTGCCAGCAGGAGTTGATGTGTGTTCCAACTTCTCAACAGTCTCCGTTGTATCTTCTGCATCAATAACCTTCGGATCATTTGTATCACCGGATTCCATCATTAAAGCCCTGAGAAAAAAGCGGAACATTTACAAAACCTGGCACCCGCAAGAAAATTTGTATAGAACTTGAAACAGATTAACGAAAAAGGGAACTCTTTAGACAAGCTAGAATGATCTAAGCCCGATTGACTGTGCAAGTAAATTCTCAATCTAAGAGATTTCCCTTGTTAATACATGAAGATTCATGCCTGATTTAAATAAAGAGGACCGAACAACCTCAGCACTATATCTCCCTTTTTATTACACATCTTAGTATGATGAACACCAGACGGATGGGCTTCGAAGACCTGCCGTTCGGTGATGCGAACCAGGCAGCAACGCTGCCTACCACCAACCAATGAAGTACGTATCGGTTTGGTCTAAAAACCTTGCCCATGAATAGGTTACTGTACATCTATATATATATATGTATACTTTATAATAAGTAGTATGGGAATGACTGGGCAAAATTTCCCTGGAAGCATACGACCGGTTTCGCGGTTCTTTCCGCTCGTCAGACATACGTATCCGGTAATCTTTGATTCACATACTACTAATTATGAAATATTCTATCAAGACCACCAGATCACGTCTGTTGCGGTTATAAGCATCTAACCCATTTACAAAACATCGAATCATAGCATTGATTCTTCATTGGACTGGCTCTAAAAGAGCTGTCTATCCAATGGTTGCCCGGCGTTGCAAACAAGGTTATTGTGACGAATATATATATACATATATATATATATATATACATGCATTAGGTATACATACTGTTTCCAATAAGTTTCTAGGTTGCGGACCCCGGGATTACGCTATTCGATGTTAAGGGACATTGAATGATAAGGCTGAGTGTGTCACACAATGGCGCGTGTGCATTCACCTAATTTCTTGAAAAATAGGCTCAATCCCTATGCTCCTCGCACATTCCCACATACCCTGTATGAATCGTAAGTTCGGCAGTGATCAGTGAAGTTCGCTTTACTGTACTTCGCGTTGCTAAGCAGATTACTTAATTCCATTCTGTGCCCAAAAGTTTTTGATCCAATTAGTTCACTTTCCGTAGAGTTGACCTCTTTTTTATTCTAATAGCTCCTGCCTAACTGTACATGTCCGTTCACTAGGATTTACAAATCCAATTTGCTATAAATGTGCTTGTTCATTTTAAGTCGGCGATTTAGAAGATTAAACGGAATTTTAACATTTCGCGACATGAGTCTTCTCTCGGTCTTGATATTTCGCTGTACGATGATTTCGATGACGATTAGTTTAGCTGCATGTGTCAGTCCATTGGTGAAGGCTTCATAGCTTGACGTCAGGCCTTAGTTTAACCACTTTTGACCTTCTCGCATCTACTATCTACCACTACAAACAGTACACGCAGCGTTAGCCTATTTGAAGGCATGCAAGACATGCCTCAGCCACTGCGACCTATGGAAGTCGACCACTTGTTTCAGTGAGTGACCGCGCTTACCCAAGACGCTTCAAATGGTGGCTATACTAAACTCAAGCAAGGCGCGCTAACAGCGGTTTCCAAATACCGGCAATTTTTGTTTGTTCTACGAGAATGAATTGATCGAACGATTAGGGCGTACAATAAGCACTCCACAGACAGCCGGATATCGCGACGCCACCAGAGATGT